AGGGTCCAGCCACCCTGAACTACCTTCACTTCCTTGAACCCACAGTGTTTTTCTCAACTCTGAAGTCTGTACTTCTCATAATCACTGTAATACTGTTCTCCCCATCCTCCTGGTAGCCTGCCACCCCGTCTTTGTCACCACTTTGCCCAGTGAACTCCTGTTCCTCTTATCCCTTATTTCTAAGTTTAATATTAACTCCTCAGATAAACCTTCCCTAAGGTTATATGCTATGTCGGGTCTTGTAATACACTTTAGTATTATGTATATTTAGTGTTATGTATATTTAGTATTATGCCTCTCTGACACTAGTCTTAATATATAAATATGTCATATAATTATTTGATTTCTTCCCTCATGTGGCAGTAAGTTCCAAAAGAACAGGCACTCTATCTCTATTTTTAATTTTTACTTGTTTTTTGATTTTAAGCGATATTTATTAAAACCTTTATATAGGTTATCTTATTTCATCCTCACAACAATTATATGGGGAAGACAGGCTATTTCCATTTTATAGATAGGAAATCTGAGGCTAAATGAGTTTAAGTGTACTGTTCCTGATCACACAAATAGTGTGTTGTAGACTTGAGGTCCATACTTAGGCACTCTCTGTCCTGGGCTTCCTTCTCAGCCATTATAAACTCACCTAAGACCTTATCTTGACTCATAGTTTTATCTCCCCCAACATCTAACCCAGTGCTGGATACACAGGAGTTGCTTGATAAATATATTTCAAATGCATAAAGATAATCACGGTCCGGTGTAGAGAAAAAGTTCGCTCTAACCATGTGACTTGCTCTGTCTCTCAGTTTCATTTCTCAAATTCCATCTCTCAATTTCATTGTTTGCAAAAAGGCACATTTTATTAAGTGGTACTCTGTGTGGTTCAGAGCGAAAATTCTGGTCTTCATTATCTTTGTTATTACTGTTGTCATTATGGACTACAAATAATACCTGAGTATCTATTATGTGCAGACAATTCTATTGGTTATTCTTTCTGCTGAATTCTGTTTTATATCAAATATGCAAATGAAAATCACAAAGGAAATGGACTTTACTGGTTAATTGGACCAATTATATTCATGATAAATGATCTCTCCCTTCTTCATTCCAGAAGGATAACGGAGTATTATAATTGTTCACTTGGCACCAGAATAGCACATGAAGATATGATTTGCTTTTAGTGGCATATCCCAAAGGGAAGCTCAGGCTTATATTTTCTCTCAGCATTGTTACCATTGGAAGGAGGATTCCCATGGAGTAAACAGTAGGCACTTTTTTTTTCCTAAGGTAACATGAAAAGTTGTGGACTTGAGTTGAAATTCAAATGAAGTCACTATTTACGTTCATGATGTAAGTACTGTGTTTAACCAGAGGAATTCCATCTGTATATCATTATATGGACAAAAACCCCCTACAATTCTTAATGTAATCAAGCCATAACATAGTTTGGTTTTGTGAAATACAGTAAGGTTTTCTTCCTTTTTAACATATGTGAAGAAAAAAGCTGAAATGTCTCCAAATGTCTTGCGTTCAATTCCTATCTTTTTCAGTGAAACAGGCAATTAGATATGTATGTGATGGAGGTTTTCCTTCTCGTGAACCTTCTGTAGCTCTATGTACTTGTGTTTGGTCCCTCCTTGTATTTTGCAGAAAACTTATTAGCCCTTAAAGTAGATCAGAGTAGAAATACTAACTTGAGTCAACATTTTCATGACCTTAAAACATTTCTTTTTCTATGTTAGGCAGTGCAAGGAACAGGAGCTCCTTAAGAGGAGGAGTACAATTGTATCTATCATCTATTATCTCTATCTATCATCTATCTATTATCTATCTATCTATCTATCATTTATCATCATTTATCTATCCATCTTCTATCATCTTTCTATCATCTATTTATCATCTATCATCTATTATCTATCACCTATCTTCTCAATCATCATCTATCTATCATCTATATCTCTATCTCTACCTCTATGTATATGTAATATATATCTATTTCTCTCTATATGTCTGTCTGTACCTATAACTATATCTATGTGTCTCTATTTTTCACCTTCTTTAATATCTGAGATCTTTATAGGGAAATACAGATATAGATTTGATGGCAGATGCATGTGGCCTGGAGAGGATTGAGAACTCAGAGCTCAGTTCCTTGTAGATGACCACTCTCAGAAGCATCTATTTCTTAGAAAGTTCTCCCTATGAGGAGGTATTTGAAAGATGGGGAGCAGAGATATTTTATGGGAAGAAGGTTTCTGAGCAACCTGTGACTCTAGCAAGGCATGCAGCCAGATTTAAGTCTATGAATGAATGACAAACAAAGGTAGCTCATAAAGATCTTTTTTGGTTTGTCTCCATATATAAGAATACTGTTCAATATATTTTGCATTATATGTCATGCATTCTTTTCACAAGGATTCTTGGAAGAAATGATTTCAAAGTTGGTAACAAGAATGGTAATGTTTTGCCCAAATTCTTGGTTGATTTACTTGTCTTTTGGATGCTACTAATTGTGTAAACGAGCTGGTGAAAAGTTTGAGGGGAATTTGTTGTCTGTACAGAACAGTGGTTTAGACTTGCTCCTGGGCAACAGGTTTTATTCTTGGCTCTATTTTGTGTTGGTCTTGCTTTTCCTTTTCATGTTTTCTTTTTTATGTTGTTTACCTGTGTCTTATGTCTCATGCTAGACACCCTCAATCTTTTGTTAATTTGTAAAAGTATTGACATACATAGTCACATATTTATATATTGACATGCATTTTTATTTTATATTTTAATAACTGGAGAGGCAAACAGGAGAGATTGGGGAAGAAACATCTTTTACAATTTTCATTACCAATATAGTTCTGCAGTCTAGCCCAGCAACTTCCCAGCTTGTGTGACAGACACATAATGAAGAAGGGAAGTTTTCTGTATAGCAACATGTGAAACTCTGAGGAATCAGCATAGGTACAAGTGAAAGTCCTTGGGAGGTAAAGCAAATATATCTGAAGGACAGACTATTGAGGTGAAGAAACTGTAAAGTCAGAGAGAATGCAAGTCATAGTTTTAACTTCCAGTTTTCAGAGGGCTTAATCACATGTGTGGCTTCTTGAAGGCCCACTGAACTAAGGAAAGTAGGTGAGACAATAGTTTTAAGTATACCACATAACATAAAAGCAAAATTAAGTTTTTTTCCTCAATCATAAGAGGTTTTAATTTTGACTTTTTAAAAAAGATTTTATTTATTTATTTGAGACAGAGAGAGAGAGAGAGAGTGAGAGAGAGAGAGAACACAAGCAGAGGGAGTGGGAGAGTGAGAAGCAGTCTCCCAGCTGAGCAGGGAACCCAATGCAGAGCTTGATCCCAGGACCCTGGGATCATGACCTGAGCTGAAGGCCCATGGTTAACCAACTGAGCCACCCAGGTGTCCCTCAAGCATAAGAGAATTTTAAAACCTTGGATCTAAAGCAGAAATATTAGCTCAGAACCCTGACAGTGGTAATTTAGCCCTTTTTTAATTGTGCTGTGCTGGAGGAGTCGGCATCCTAGGGGCTTAACACAGACAAATGGAGATGTTGCTTCCCACTTTGCCGGCAACACACCTGCCTCCTGTGTCTGCCTCAGAAGGAAAGAAGACTGTCAGGGGTCGAATTCCACAACCTCTTGTACTAGCAAATCATCATCATCTTGGAGGCACAAAACAACACAAATTTATTCACAGTTCTGGAGGTCAGCAGTCCAAACTCAATATCACTGGGCCAAAATCAAGGTGTTGGTGGGGCTACTCTCCACCCAGAGGCTCCATTGGAGAATCCAGTCTTTGCCTCACAGGCCTGGTGGTGCTGGCAGTCCCCATGGTTCTATCCCTCCAGTCTTTGCTTCCATGGCCACACTACCTCCTCTTCCTGTGTCTGTAGTCAAACCTCCCTGTGCCTCCTCCCTATAAGGATATTTGTGATGGCACTAAGAGCCCACCCTGATAATCTCCCCAACTCAAGATTTTTAATTTTGAACCCAATGAGTCTTTCCCCATATAAAGTAATATTCCCAGGTTCCTGGAACTAGAACCTGCATGTCTTTATGGGCCATATGCAGCTTACTGTTTTGCTCCAAACCATGCACTTTGGCCAGTTCAGTGTTTTGTTTTGTTTTAACTTTTTGTAGGAAATTCAACCACATCATGAACACAGTTAGCCACGGATTAACATTTTGCTTCTTTTAAGCATCCATCTGGTGGTAGCTATGGCTCACATTCCTATTATCAAAGGAAAACTGTTATTTAAATTGCACACTTTTTACTTGATGCATAGCTGTGTTCCCAGTTTTGTGGATAAAAAGTTGAATAAAATAAAGTTATTGCTTTCAAGGATATTCCAAAATATGATTAGAATAATAAAAAGTATCCTTCTGGGTGTAATTCTCTAGTAAAGACAAAAGGAGTCAATGACCAGCAGAGAAACCAGAGCGTTACTTCATGCTTCCTTTTTTAACATCTATCACAAGGCACTCTATCAAGTGCAAAGAGAAAAGATAACTCAATCACCCTCTCTGGTAAAGGAGAAAAAATTAGTTGAGAAATATATGGTGACAGGGAATAAAGGGAACAGCATACTGAGTACTGTAAATGGTATTTTAATAGCTTTATATGGTGATGGATGGTAGCTACACTTATGGTGAGCATAGCATAATGTATAAACTTGCTGAATCACAACGTTGCACACCTGAAACAAATGTAACATTGTGTGTCAGCTATACTCAAAGAAAAAAAATATGGTGGTGCCTGCTATGTTATGTGCCTGATAACGGATATCCCCCCACAGCATAGAACTAATTTCTCAGTGGTCTGAAAAAAGTGATATCCGCTATGGCATGAACATGTCTCGTGTTGAACAACATACATGCATCACTTGGGTATTTCAGGGATCTAAAATGGCAAATGATAGGGGAAGTTGATATATGGATGTATTGACATATTTATTAATCTTTTCACAGAAAAGGACCATAGAAACCCAAAATCAATGGATGAGAAAAATTTCACCAAAGTGAAAGAGTTTATACTTTTAGGGTTTACATCAGACCTGTGGTTACAGAAAGTACTCTTTGTCATTTTCTTCATCATCTATGTCGCTAGTCTTTCAGGGAACATCACCCTGATTTCTCTGATCTGTGCTGATTCTCGGCTCCACACAGCCATGTATTTCTTCATTGGGAACCTGTCTTTTCTGGATCTCTGGTATTCCTCTGTCTACACCCCAAAGATCCTGGTGACCTGCATCTCAGAAGACAAAAGCATCTCCTTTGCTGGCTGCCTAGCTCAGTTCTTCTTCTCTGCTGGGCTGGCATATAGCGAGTGTTACCTGTTGGCCGCCATGGCTTATGACCGCTATGTGGCCATCACCAACCCTCTGCTTTATTCACAGGTGATGTCCTCAAGGATATGTGCAAGTCTTGTTGCAGCTTCATACCTTAGTGGCTTTCTTAACTCAATCATCATTACCAGTGAGACATTTACCCTCAGCTTCTGTGGGAGCAATGTTATTGATGATTACTTCTGTGATCTGCCCCCCCTTGTCAAACTGGCCTGTGATGTGAAGGGGAGTTACCAGGCTGTGCTCTATTTCATACTGGCCTCCAATGTCATTGCTCCTGCTGTGCTCATCCTTGCCTCCTACCTCTTTATCATTGCTGCCATCTTGAAGATCCGCTCCACCCAAGGCCGCCTCAAGGCTGTCTCTACCTGTGGCTCTCACCTGACAGCTGTCACCTTGTACTATGGCTCTATTCTCTTCATTTACTCCCGTCCAAGTACGAGCTATGCCCTGGAAAGGGATAAAGTGGTGTCGGTGTTCTATACTGTGGTGATACCATTGTTGAATCCCTTGATCTATAGCTTAAGAAATAAAGATGTTAAAGATGCTCTGAAGAAAATGTTAGATAGGGCACCAATTTTTAAATGAAAATACTTGGGAAACATGACTGTATCTTTTTTCTAAGTCATCTCCACATCATGGTTATTAGCCTAGACTCTCAGAAATAACAAAAATAAAAAAAAAATTACTGGATAATGTGGAAACACTTGACTGCAATTGTCTTTTTAAGTTGGCACTAATGTATTTGAGTAGGTGTGTAAAATAAATAAGGTTGGTATATTTGAAATAACTGTTATGCCTGCTACCTGGGACTAGTCTAAAATTCCTGAGATTCTGAGAAGGGTGAAGAAGAGTTTTTGTTTTGTTTTGTTTTGTTTGTCATGATAAAAAGGTTTTTTTTTTTTTTTGGCAACAGATACAGGGAAGAGCAAATATCTCAGAGTCAGAGTGAGCTTTCAGTGAAAGAGCATTTCCTCAACAATTATAAAAATCAAGGGTAAAAGAGGAGCAGTTGTATGAAGACCAAAAATGGAGATGTAGATAGAAATAGGTAGGTAGAGAGGTAGAGAGACAGATTTCAAAAAGCTTTTACACCCATGAGAAGATTCATTGTGAAAATCTCTGCTAAGTGAAGAAATGAATAGCCTTTAAGGTTCTATGAATGTTTGTGTTTCTTTGCTTGTTCACCTTTATGCATGAATTCATTACAACTTAGAGAATATTTCATTATGGTGTCTCTCATTTCCTAATTTTAAGTTTTTTTTTACGTATAAAACATGAAGCTGTGCTCACACAAAAAAGCCCTAGTGTTATTAACCAAGTATATTCATTTGCTAGGGTTGCCATAACAAAATGCCATAGACTGGGTGGCTGAAACAACAGAAATTTATTTTCTCACAGTTCTGGAGCAGAAAAGGCCAAGATCAGGGGGCCACTCAGGTTGGTTTGTTCTGAGGTCTCTTCTCTGCTTGTAGATGGTCACCCTCTTGCTTTCTCCTCACTTGGTCTTTTCTGTGCACAATTACTCTTGTACTTCTTTGTGAGTCCAAATTTCCATTCTTCTTTAATGAAGACTTAGATCAGATTGGATTCTGGCTCACCCTAACCACCTCATTTTTAAAAAATCACTCATTAAAAACCTCATTTAAAAAAATCACTTAAAAAAGATTTATTTATTTGTTTTAGAGCGAGACAGTATGAGTAGAAGGGAGAAAAGGGTGAGGGAGAGACAATCTCAGGTAGACACCATGTTGATCATGGAACCCAACAAGGGGCTTGATGCCATGACCCCAAGATCATGACCTGAGCTGAAACCAAGAGTTGGACTCTTAGCCTACTGAACTACCAAGGCACCCCTTAACTTAATCACTTCTATAGAGGCCCTATCTCCAAACACACATTCTGAGTCACTATTAGTCAACATACAAATTTTAGAAGGTTGCCATTCAATCCATAATATGAGGGTTTAATAGGATTTTTCTGATGAATGAGATGGGGAAATGTAGCCTGGAAGCACGGTACAGACAAGGAAGCATAGGAGATCTGGCAGTAGAAAAAATTATGGACCACAAATGATACACTCTAAAAAAGCTTATTTAGAACAATTTGAAGAGTTTCTATTATCAGACACGTTTGTGATTATATTGTGATTTAATGGTAAGACAGTGAGATTTTAGTAAAATATTTTTCATTTCATCATGTCCTAATTAACACACTATCCCAATACTGTAAATGAACTCTAATTGATTCTTTAGAGACTGAAGTGTATATTTCTGTTCTGTGGAAGAGGTCTCAAAGGTCTGTGAGAAAATGTACATATCAAGTCCAACAAAGCATGCCAAAATGTCAGAGGAAAGGGAAAATCCTGTCACTTCCAGTATCTGTCCTTCCTTGCAAAGGGTAAGCAACTAGAACCAGGGGCAGATAAGTGTTTTGGTCTCTCTTTGGCCTCAGCTAAATTAGAAGGGGGATACAGAGTCAGGCATGGCTCTCAAAGGATCATTGTTACGCCAAACACATATACAGAAAGACACAGTCTTCTAAATAAGAGTCCACGAATGAGATGCCTCACTTTCATCTAGAATTTGCAATTCAGTCTGGTAGTTATGTTGGGTCACCATGTATTCACTAACACAGTGGGGTAAACAAAAAGAGAATATGGTTGACCTACTTTTGGATTATAGTGTCCAAGCTACACTGTGTGATATTTTCACTTCTTGCTACTAGTTTTCAGGTATTAGAGGGACACATTCTCCCTCCAAATGTTTAGTTCTCCAGTAGAGGAGCAGGAAACAGGAGAATACACATCTTGAGAAACTATTCTACATGGGATGCTTTAGCACGATTGGCTCAGACTTTTTCTGTGTCTTTTATTTCACATCCACACTTTCATTGCAATTTATTTTAAAATTTTAAAAGATTTTATTTATTTATTTATTTGACACACAGAGAGAGATCACAAGTAGACAGAGAGGCAGGCAGAGAGAGAGTTGGAAGCAGGCTCCCTGCTGAGCAGAGAGTCTGATGTGGGGCTTAATCCCAGGACCTGAGATCATGACCTGAGCGGAAGGCAGAGGCTTAACCCACAGAGCCACCGAAGTGCCCTTCATTGCAATTTATTTTAAATTCAAGATGGATTTTAGGACATCCTGATGGTTATGAGGGTAATGATTAAGAGTCCTTTAATAATCTTCCTGCTGAAGTGATACAGTACACTGAGTAATAAATGTCTAGCTGAGGGTAAATTTGTTTTAAGTAGTTTGTATGAGGTTAGAAGTAGACAATACTTTGGGGGAAAAGAGCTTCAAGATATAAAGATAATTACCCACTCATTCATTCTAGAAATATTTATAAAGTGCCAATTAGTTGCTGGGAACAGTTCTATATGTGCTGGGTACAGCAGTAAATAAAACAGAGAAATCATACTGACCTGTGTGCTGTATGCTGTATGCAGTATGCTGATAGGAAAAATGGACAACAAACTATATCCAGAAGCTAGAAGATGACGGTATGTCTTGGGGAAAATAGACCTGAATGGGGCCTCACACCTCATCTCCTGCAAATCCCATTCAAATGTCATTTTCTTATGAAGACCCATTCTTGTCACTCTATTTCAAATCCCATGCCCTCTTCTCACCAGCAATACCCATCTTCTTGTTTTCCTCAAACTCTGCTCTATTTTCCCCAAAACTATTTGTGTTCGTGTAATGCCAAAATCCTTAATATGTCTTCCAATAGGCTTTGTGAGTTGATCACTCTTGTGGCTCACCTCCTGGTTCTTCTGAACACCCCGTCTTTACTTAACCCCTCTCAACTCTTGGAGTTCACCAGACTCTCGCTCATGTGAGGGCTTTGATATATATATATATTTTTTTTCTCTCTCATGGAACTGCTTTCCTCTCCTCCTTATCCTTACAATGGGCTAGCACTGGGCTCATTTCTCCGGTCTCTTTTCAATATCTCTTCTTCTGTGAAGACTTTGAATAATAGACCAAAAAAAATCATTAATTTTTTTCAGTTATTTGCCTCTCTGGAGGGCAGGAGTAGAAGGGTAATAATAGGCACTCTCAGATATTTTCATTTCCCCCCCAAGTTTTATCGCATTGAAGGTGAACTTAATAAGGCACAGGTATTTTTCATTGTGTAGATAAATAATAACACAGCAGAGGAGGTTCATAGTAACTACTGAGATGATGGCTATCATCCACCGGGTTGTACATTATCAATATAATGACCATAAATCCCTGCCAAGATAACTATTACTCAAGCTTGAGCAAATTCAGAAAAAAAAAAATTGTAGTGTAGAAATGAACACCAGTGTAGCACAATACATGTGAAGCTCCTAGGATGTGAGATTTTTAAGGGGGAGATTATGTGAGTAATTTAGTTTGGTTGAAGTCCTAAATAGGTGAAGACAAGTAGCAAGAGAGAGTTGTAAAGGTTAAGTTAAAGCCCACTTAGGGAAGGGGGTGTAGGACTAAAGCATCTGTGCTTTGTGTGCTAATGAGATGAGATCCATTATATGGAAATAGTTGGAGGAATGAGTGATCTTCAGGATTCCAAGCTTTATCTACTACAGTTTATCAATCAAATCATGTCCTCTCTGAACATCATTAGCTACATCTGAAAGATAACAAGACCTAATATTTAAAGATTAAGATACTTCCTTTCCTTATTAAAGAGGAACAGTGGACTTTGGGGTAGAACATTACAACTGACAGTCCAGTTACAAACGGATTCTGGCTTAGCTCAAAGGAGAATGTTCTGAACATGGAAGTAAATCACAATCTTCTCTTGGTTTTAACTTTCTCCCACTATCTTTTTAACTAAGGGATAGTCCACCAACTACTGGACCAATTCCATATGTTTTGAATTAGATTTCTCCTTTTAGCTTCTCCCTCAGAGTTTTAGAGCTTTGGGATAATTTGAAAGGATTCATGGCTTCTCAGTCTGTCATTGACACCAAAGATTGTGTTTTGCTTAATATTCAGCATTTACTATATCCAAAAATAGCTCAGCTATGTATATGAATCTCATTGGTCAACAAGAGAAAGTGGGGAAAGAATGTTCTTAAAAAAAGCTTTTTTAAAGATGTTTTTATTAAGTAAAGTAATTCAAGTTGTCAGAGGATTATATATTGCCTTAACCAGGAGAGCAAAAGAAAAACCATTTACTTATAAAGCACATAAATGGCTTAGCAGTTGAGAGCACATACTCTTGATAAAGAAAATTCTGTGTTTAAATACCAGCTCTGCTATTGATCTGTTTGGTGACTTTGGACTTGTTTCTTAAACACCATGAGAATTGTAATAGTGCCTACTTTATGAAATTATAGAAAGGATTAAGTATTTCAAGATTAGAATTTAGAATATTAATTGGAGCATAGTGATTATTACATTATTATATTATATTAATTATATTATATATCATATCTAATGTAAATGTTGTATTGATAGTTACAAGAGTGGTACAGTATGTTGACATTTGTGTAATTATCAGCATAACGCCTGACACATAAATTCTCAATAATACATGAAGGATACTAAAATTTTTTGAGCACTTACTATGTACTTAACATTGGGTTTGGT